GTGAGTGTTGCTAGCTCGTGAGGGTGTGTGATACGGGCTTTACCCAACTGGTGTAATCGATTCGAATCACCGTCTCTCCCGGATAGTGAGAAACTTATACCTTGCTCTAGTAGTCATAGTAACTACTTGGCATATGATTTTAGCAATTGAATCATGATTGGTTACTATTCTCTATAAATGGGCACTATTCTTATAATTGATTACTATTCTCTATAATTCAGTTACATGGTGTAAGATAGTGCTGATGTAGTTCTAAATAGCTCAATCTTGAACCCTGCAGCAAACATTTGAAAGTAAGGATTACTTTAGAAAGCTCTTTTGCAAAGTATTGCTATCCAACTCACCCCACCATATATATAGCCTTATATATCTTTGGAGTCTTTTATTTTGTTCTCTATCGGGTAAGTCTTACTGAGTACAATTGAGTACTCAGGGTTTTATTCCCTCCGTTGCAGGTGACACTTTGTATGAAGGTTATTGTATCACTTGCTTTAGTCCCGAGGTGGACACCGATGAATAAAGGCCAACGGGCATGGCCATACTCTATACTACTTTACTTTGCTTTTGTTGGAGGTGTTTGATAAACTGGCAATGTATTTAAACTTACGACAATAATGTAGTTTCAAAACTATGTGGCTTTCTTGTATCATATTTGAACTCGGTATTGTAATAAGTATTGTGAAATCAGTTTGTATCTTAAACTTCCAACAAACTGTATGTATATTATGATGTATATTGTTGTTTCCTTAATCATGCACGATCTTGGTTGTGAAGTTGATTTATTGAGACCCTTCGTGGTACTCAACGGACTACCGAGTTTATATAAGTGACGGTATGCGCGCGTGTCAACGTGTTTAACGGGGACCGTCATACTTAATCTTATATGAGTTGGGTGGTTCTGCACACAAGGACCATATCTCATCCCGCTAAGTCCTCAAACTAAACACATGCATAGTAAACCTCACTACCCCAGCTTTTACATCACTTTGCCGGTTCAAAATCCCCATTCACCGTCGGATTTTGAACCGGCGATCTTACCGGCAAAGATGCTCATTGCCATCTGCTGCCAGTACTTCACCGAAGTGATAAGGTTTAGAAAAACAAAAAAGCAATCCAACAAGCATGCTGGCTGGAGCATGCTCATTATCGCCATCACGCCGCCACCATGCTGCTCGGCTGGCTACATGCCGACACTACATCAAGCATTTCATCCAAGAAAAAATTCATACATCACAACCAAAGGATGGATTCAACACATCAGAAAAACTCATCCACAAATCAATTCGTGCATCGCAGAGGAAGGAAAAGGGTTCAACACATCACAAATCAACCCATCCACAAATCAATTCGTACATCACAGACAAAGGAGCAGAGTTCAACACAAACAAAATAAATCATCTACAAATTGATTCACACAACATAGAGGGAGGGGAGGGGAGGCCAGGAGGGGGAGATTGGGGATGCCGCTGTGCAGGCCAAGTCACCGCAGACAGCAGGAGGGGTAGGCCGCAGTTCCGCTGCAGGTCCGGCACAGCTCCTCCGCAGGTCCGGCGCAGGTCCACTACAGCTCCTCTCCACACCACAGATGTAGCGCCCCCTTGAGCCCCCTTCGGCACCTAGAAACCACGCACGGTGTGCCACAAAGAGGCAAACCATCGAAGGCGCAATCTACGGACGGAGAAAAAGGAATAAAAGCGAGGACGAGGATAGGCCAGGGCGACTCACCTCGGAGGCGTTTGCGGCGTCTTTATCCATGTCGTCGTGTCTTGCGCGGTGGATGGGACCTTCGACTCCAGCGCATGCGCTCTAGGCCTCGCTACCGGAGCGCACGCCGGCCAGCTACTGCTCATGGCCGCAACGGAGGAGAGGAAAGTGTGGAGGCGTGGGGAGATCTGGGGAGGAGGAGATAGTCTGTCGGGCTTGAAAGTTGGGAGGGAGTTGGGAGGCGCAGATAGAGTTGGGAGTTGGGAGGCGTGCGAAGTTAACTAGGATGGATAAAATTTTCGGGTCCAGGAGTATGGATCAGTGTCGGTTTGGTAATTCAATCGACAATACTGCCGGTTTGTATTAACAACCGGCAGTGATGTGGTCCTTCAATGTCGGTTTTAGCCTACCTTAATTATTTTCTCGTTTTCAAGCTCGGAAGCGTACATCACTGCCAGTTCTCACGAATTCGACAGTGATAAGGCCGGCAGTGATGTCCAAATCTATAGTAGTGCCTTGCACTATTCACTTTGATCTGGACTGTGAAGGCACAAGATCTTGCATTACAACATTCTTGCTGCTTCAGGGAGATAGAGATAAAAACGTGCACGCGGACAAATTAAATAAATTCAGATCTGCCGACAACTTGTGAGTGAGTCAAGCTATATATATCTGCTATACCTTTATGTCTTTGAGACACACCAAGACAATGCAGTGCGTAGACCGGTACGCTGTCAATTTTAAGGTGCTTACCTTCCCATGTTACATGCCTGTCTCCTTTACTCTATCCGTTATCTTTTGTTGTTCCTCAGTTTCTTCAAAGGTTTTGTGTCCCCATTATAACTACAAGGACTTGCAACCCTATCTGGTGTGACTGGTTTATCCATCGATAATGACACCAGCAATGCATGCATCACCATGCATGGAAGAAGTTGATGGATGCATTATGAAAACCTAATAAAAAGAGGTGAGGCGTGTCTTCCTCTCATGACACTACGTAAAAAACGGTTTTTAGCAACGGAATAAATTTTTTGTGGGGACGACGGGTGATGGAGCCGCCCCTACAGTATCGTGCTCGGGAGCCCAGACACCAGCCGCCCCTACAAATGGAACAGCAGGGGCGGCTCACTCACCAGCCGCCCCCGGCGTTGCTATTTGTAGGGGCGGCTGGTGATTGAGCCGCCCCTACAAATGTCCCGTATAAATACCTCCGATTTGTAGAGGTGGCTCAATCACCAGCTGTCCCTACAAATGACCCATATATAAAACAACTGCAGCATCTTCTTTCTTCTCGGGTCACTCACTCCAACCTGTGAAAGAAAGGTGGGGAGGCCTTGGACACCTCTCAAAAATTGTTCTACTAAGGAGGAAGGTTTTGATCTCAAATCATTTGGTGGAGAGATTGTAGAAGGTAAGAAAATGCTATTCCACACTTTTTTTTTGAAGTTATAATGGTTGGTTAGTGAGTAATTAGAGTTTTGTTTTTCTCTCTCTTCTATGGTGCTTGAGCTACTTATGAAGCAAATTAGACCCAAGTTTTAAATGTACTAGGGTAAATTAGGGAGGGGAATAAGATCATACCCTTATTAGGTAGGGTAAATTCGGCAACACGAATGATAGATAGAATACGCGGAAACAAACAGTGTTCTGGTCGAATTTGAATTGTAAATTTATTTTTTTTTTGCACGAAAAAATATACTGTAGGGACGATTCTAGATTGAACCGCCCCTACAAACAGGTATTATAGAGACGGCTGGTACTATAGCCGCCCCTACAAATCAATTTGTAGGGGCGACCTGAGAACCGCCCCTACAAATACATGGTTACGAGTAGCCCCTAAAAATGATTTAGGTAGTAGCGTGGGTTGTATGTAATGCAAGTGCCTTTATATATGTTATTATATTATATACACGCACATAGATGTAATGGCCCAGCTAGATACACAGTGTGGAATCTCATGATGAGTGTTCTTTTGTTTTTATCTCGTGCAACTGCGGCGGTTGTGTGCGTAACTTGAAAGGCAGTACTCAGATTGCTGGGATGATGCGTTTCTTGATTGTTGTCCAGCACTCAAAATCTTAACTTGGATTTTGGTCAGAATTTCACCTGATTCGCTTGTGATGGGAGGAACTTCCGAGCTTCATTGTTGCAAATGATGATGCCACAAAGTGTGCTCCAATGATGCCTCACTTATTGAATGGCAGTGCGCGAAATATGGGAGTTGATATCTTTTCGTCCATGATGTCTTCTTAAACATAAACAAGTTGCTTGAAGAGACATGTTGGTTTGAAACATGGAGACTTGTCCTTCGTTTTGCACGACTCGCGGAATATAAACTATGGGATGTTTGGTCTCTGAAATGAGGTAGTCCATCTTCATCTTATTTCTATTTTTTTTAAATTTAGAGTGTGGAATGAGTTGATGCATCATAAGCTAATAATTAGTATTAGTACGAGCAATGAAGTCATTTTACTACAGAAATGCTATACAATGCGTCATCTCATCTAGAATGATTGATTCTACCAAACAAACACTCTAGAAATTACTAGTTTTTGAATGTGATATCAAACTCACGGTGTAATCTGAGACTATATGGGGTTATACAATGGGCATGTTTGGACAAATTAGGAGTAATTGTTAGCTAGTTAAAATTAGCTTATGTATGTTTTTTTTAGTGGACGATTCAGGCGGAAGAAGCGGAGTTGTGCGGGCAAAAGTGCGCTTGAGTGCGCACGCTGGCCCTAGCAACGCCACAAATATATTACTACCTTTTGGAAAAAACTTTTATCCAGCACCGCCGCATGCCGATCCTGCTGCGACACGGTTTAGATGGACCATACGTGTCCTGCTGGCCCACAAGCGAGATGGCTGCAGCTTCTTGGCCTTATGTGGTATGGAACGACGGGTGGGGCCATGGAACACGTGTCACGCAACATGCCATGTCGTACATGCTTATCTGTGCGACGGTGTCGCAGAGAATTTTTTTTCCTACCTTTTGTGAGACTGCATGGCATATGCATGCTTTATTTCCAATTTCACCATATAAATACAGTTCCAAGAATTTTTTTCCGTCCGCGATACATGCATGGAAAACGGATCTACCGACCACGTGGTAAACGTGGAGAGCAACTATACCACGTGGTAAACGTGGAGAACAACTATACAATTGTTCATGAAAACGGATCCAGACAAATCTGAGGAGCCCACCACATATATGAGCCCATCGATCTATCTCAAGTCCCTGTCCCTAGGGAATAGGGCAAACTAACCAACGTTGACCGGCGGCGGCGGGGGCCATGGAAGCCCAAACGGCGCACCCTCCCTCCGGTCCGTCCTCCGGCGCCTACCCACGGTGGGTCATGCTCGAGCGGCGTTGCTATTGCAGCATCGGCGTCGGCAACTCCTCTTGCTCCACGGCCGACGCCAAGACTCAGGCAGCCGCCCGCACCAGCACCGGCCACATGATCCAAGTCTCCCTCAGCCTCGCAGAGCCCCTGTCAACTTCGAGCTTATGCGTCCAGGTTTCTGACGGCGTCGAAGTACAGAAACACAATTGTAAGGTGCTGGCGGCGCACGGCGATTCTGTGCTCATCGTGGTTCCTGTCCTTGACGAGAATCATCAGTACTACTACTACAAGGCAGACCACTTCGTCTACAACGCGGGAGATGCCGCTGCGGACCCCCCACGGCCACCATCGTTATCGCTGCTCCCGCCTTTGTACCAGTATCACACCGAGGAGGAGGAGGAAGAGGAGGACGAGGACGAGGAGGAGGAGGAGGAGGAGAACCCTGCGCCTCGAGATCTGGCTGCTTTTGCCATCGGCCTCCTGCGCCGTGGCGAGGACGAGCTCGTGGTGGCGGGGCTCAGGACGGGCTGTTCGGTGGAGGACGCACCGGAGCTGAAGCTGGCCGAGCTTTGCCTGTTCCGTTCCGGGGAGTGGAGCGTCCGGCGCCTTCCCATCGACGGCGACGCCAGTGAAGGCTGGGACGAACTGCCTTCAGTGTGGCACACGGCCGTCCTCCCTGTCGGGGACCGGCAACTCTGCTGGGTGCACTTCTCGCGCGACGTCCTGGTGATCTGCGACGACGTGTTCGAGGAGAGCCCCAGACTGCGATATCTACGGCTCCCCATGGATCCCCGTTTGGGCTCGCTATCGAACCGCAACGTGTGCACCACCGCCGGCGACCGCGTGCTGAAGTTTGTCAACATCTTCCCCCGCTGCTGCTGCGGCGGCGCAGGTGCCTCCTGCTGCAAACGTTCCCTCCACGCCTACACCATACACACCTGGATGCTGAGAATGGACGACATGGAGTGGATAAAGGACGGCATGGTCGACGCCACTGAGCTCTGGGCGCTCGACGCATACAAGGGCCTCCCACGCGTCCCACTTGAGTGTCCCGTCGTGAGCATGTACGAACCAAATGTCATCTACTTCCAGTTGCGAGAGAGTTACCATGTCAAAAATTGTATTGACGACACGATATGGCTGCTGAAGGTCGATATGAGAAGCAAGACAATACAATCATTCAACGGAGATGGGCTTTCATGCATGTTGCATAAGCTAATCCCCAGCAATGTATCGCAATTCTTCTATACTTATCCAAGTAACGCTAGTGATGGTGCATTGACGGAGCAAAGACAGATGGGCATTGAGAGGCCACCGATAGTCGTCGTTGATGAGCAGACAGTAAGAGAGGACGATGCCAACAATCCAATGTTGCAATCTTCTTCGTTCATGGAGCCTTCTGATCAAGCATCAGAAATCTTTGAGGCCCTTCTACAGATATCTAGGTACGGTTTGGATGGTGATGAGCTGAAAGCGTATAGCATACTTGTCCAGGACAACGGCCGCCTGTTTAGATCTCTCTTAAGATTACCAAAGAATATGAGGAAGGATTGGTTGCTGATGGAGATTATTAAGGCTAGTCAAGCTTATTGACCCAGCGTCAACTCTTTATGCAGCTCAGGCTTGCTTCCTATGGCCTGGCAAGTTGTGTGTCATGTGTCACAGAATTTCGAACTAGTATAATGCTTGACACTTTTTGTGAGTACAAGACTCTGTTCTTTTTTTTTTAGAATTTCAGGGCAAGGCCCGGTCATTGCATTATCACAAGGACCAGAGTAACAGTTTAGGCACTGGCGTTCCATTATCCAGAAAATAAACCAACATGACGCTCAAACAGCACTCCCAACTACCTCTCAAACAGCAAACCACAGAGTAACTACGACTCTCATAGCCTAAGAAGCTGACCCATTTTTCTTTGGGATCCAGACAGGTATCTGAAGCAACCACCAACCTCTTCTGAACTTCCTCAGGATAAGTCCTCTGCTTCCCGTCCAAGGCCGATTTGTACATTAATTTCTCCCATTCGTTTTCCACCTTGTTCAGCCAGGCAACCTTGGCAGACTGGTTGCCACTCTTCTTAGCTTCTCCAATTTGAGACTGAACTCCGTTCTCTTCTCCATTGGGCATAGCAGGGTCCAGCTTGTGAGCATATTCAGAATTGTAATCAGTAATGAAAGCACACTCCTCCATACAACACCCTGAAAACACATATCATTTCTTAGTTTTCAGAGCCCCCACAGGGCAGCAACACAAAACATATTATCAACTAAGCATCTACTATTATTAATCCACATTTGACCAATTGACAAGAAGTCCATTCCTACATTCCTCCCCAAAATGTCAGACAAATAACACCACATCTGTTTGGCAACTGCACAATCAAAAAATAAATGGTTCACTGATTCTTTCTCACTACAAAAAAAAGGCAAGAAAGATCATTTACTTTCCTTCTAAGACTTAAATTATCCCTAGTTAACACCTTATTCTTAGAAAAAAGCCAGAGGAAGAAATGTACTCTGGGTGGAACTTTGAGATTCCATACAGCAGGAACATGGACAGACTTAACTCCTCTAAAATTTATGACTTTGTAAAGAGATTGGGAAGAGTACACCCCCCTAGAATTAAAAGTCCAAATCAAGGAGTCTTCCTCTTCTAAAAACACAATAGTAGAAGCTAGCTGGATAATTTCTTGCCATCTAATCATAAGTCTCTCATCCACTCCTCTTCTAAAAGTACATTTCAGATCTACTCCATCCCATAAGTCAAACACTGACTGAGTTTTTTCATTGACTAACACATAGATGTCCCAAAACTGAATAGCTAAACTAGATGATCCTAACCAGTTATCCTCCCAAAACCTCACTTTCTTACCATTGCCAATATGCCATCTGTAACCCATCTTTGCTGCCCTGGCAGCCCAAATCATACCTTTGAAAAAACTAGAACTACCAGTTGTGTTACTATAGAAGATATTAGGCCTATCAGTATTATACTTATGATCAATCAACTGTTTCCAAAGCTTATTCTCATCTAGACTATATCTCTTAACCCAGGAAGCCAATAGACAAATATTTAAATCTCTTAGATTTGGAATACCTAGACCTCCAAACTCTTTAAGCAGACTAACTGTATCCCAGTTAACTAGATGATACCTATGTGCCTCAGGATTATCATTCCATAAACAATTGGCCATATGAGTATGAATGATCCTAATTGCCCATTTTGGAAACTTAATAAAGGAGAGAAGATAAACTGGTATACTTGCCAAACAGGCCTTAATAAGAACTACTTTAGCAGCATATGACAAAAGCTTCCCTCTCCAACCTGCTATCCTCTTAAGCATCTTATCTACCAGAGGTTGAATGTCTTCTCTCCTTAAATTATCATAGTGCAGAGGAATACCAAAATATTTAATAGGAAACTCTCCTAAAGGACAGGAGAAAAAGTGAGAAAGATCATGGGCCTCTAAGTCACTCAAATTCATAGGAATGATCTCACTTTTATGGAAATTGACCCTCATGCCTGAAATCTGCTCAAACCATAAAAGAATACTTTTTAGATTGACTAGATGACTCTCTTCTACATCGGTGAACAAAATTGTGTCATCAGCATATTGGAGGGCTATAATGCCCTCTTCTCTAAAACCTGACGCTAGACCTTTTACCAAACCAAGCTTTGCCCCCTTCAGGAGCATCTTAGTTAACACATCGCTAACTAAGTTAAACAGCAGATGGGATAAAAGGATCCCCCTGCCTAAGACCTTTTCCAGTCTTAAAGAAAGCTTTCCTCACCATTTAAGCAAACTCCAACAGAGCCCTTTTTGACTATTTTCTTTATCCAGCCAATCCAAATCTGATTAAAACCTCTAGATTGAAGTACTTCAAAAAGAAAATCCAAGCAAACCCTATCATATGCTTTTTCATAATCTAATTTTAGAATAGCACCTCTTTCTTTGTTACTATGAACACTATGAACTATTTCATGAGCAAGAACTACACTTTCTAGGATATACCTCCCATGTGTAAAAGCACTTTGGTGAGGTGACACTAGTCTATCCACTACTGTACTTAATCTAAGAGTCAAAACTTTGGAAAAATTTTGAAACTGCAATTAATAAGGCTGATTGGTCTAAATTTTTTCATGTTCCTAACACCTTCTTCCTTAGGAATCAAACTAATCATGGCAAAGTTCAGCCTATACAGATCCAGTTCCCCATTAAAAAAATCATTGAACATTTTCACTAAATCACCTTTGACAAGATCCCAAAATTTCTGGTAAAACACAAAAGAAATCCCATCAGGGCCTGGAGCCCCTTCAGCATAACAACTAAAAACAGCTTCTTTGATCTCTAACTCAGTAAAGGGAGCTGTAAGCACATTATTTTGCCAGCCGCCCCTATGAAAAGGAGGCTAAAAATAACTGATTTATAGGGGCGGTTCTCAGGCCGCCCCTACAAATCGATTTGTAGAGACGGCTCAATATCCAGCCGCCCCTACACATCCGATTTGTAGGGGCGGCTGGATATCGAGCCACCCCTACAAATTAATTTCCAGAAACCACGAAGAAAGGGGAAAAAAATAGTAAATTTTTTTTAACCGAAGAGGTCCCCACCGGCAGCCACACACACCCTCACTCTATGGTTGCAACATTTTTTCACGATTTTTGCACACAATCGAACCGGCGACCTCTCTCTCACGCTCCATCTCCTCTACCACTACACCTCACATTCACTTGTGTCCACAGTCCATTTTGATTCCCCATGTATTATACAAAACTAAGCATAAATTGATTGTTTGAGGCCCTAAACTAATTCAAATGAAAAAGTTGTCAACTACAAAGTTTTATAACTTTTCGAAATCTACAATTTTCATTTTAGTAGTTTCTTCATCCGAGGTCACTTATAAAATTTGAATTTCAAATTTGAAAAATTCGAACGTAGTTTTCCCTGACAAGGTGGTTTCAAATGGGGAAGTTATCAACTACAAAGTTTCATAACTGTTCAAGATCTACAAATTTCATTTTTACTGTTTGTCCATCCAAGGTCGTTTAAAAAATTCAAATTTCAAATTTTTGGAAATTCAAACGTAATTTTTCTTGACAAGATGATTTCAAATCAAAAAGTTGTCAACTACAAAGTTTCATAACTTTTCGAGATCTACAACTTTTATTTTGGTTGTTTCTCCATCCAAGCTCGTTTATAAAATTTAAATTTTAAATTTTAGAAATTCAAACGTAATTTTCCTTAACAAGATGATTTCAAGTTAAAAAGTTGTCAACTATAGAGTTTCATAACTTTCCGAGATCTACAACTTCTATTTTGATCATTTATTCATCCGACATAGTGGTAGTAACATTGTTTACAAATGTTACATATCCCTCCTATTGTTTATGAAACTATAAGAGAGATATGTAAATTTTGTGAACAATGTTATTACCACTTTATCGGATGAAGAAATGACCAAAATAAAACTTGTGGATCTTGATAAGTTCTGCAACTTCTATGTTCATGATTTTTTCATCTGAAATCAATTAGTGTTCCAAAATAACGTTTGGCCTTCTCTATGTGTTCCTCTTTTGCCCCTCTCTTTTTTTCTATTTTTTGAGCTATCGTTGTTTTTTTTGGGAAATTTTGACTCTTTCTTTTTATTTTTTTGATATTTTTCCTTTACTTAGGATCACAAAAGAAGTAACCACAGAACATATGAACTGCAACAAGTGAAAGACGTGGCCTGTGGAATTTTCAGAAGACGTGCTCAAAATCGACATAAACCTTGTGACCACGAAACGAGGATCTTGTGACCACTTTTTGACCAATCTAAAATTTCTGAACCCCGGCAAGTCCGGGGATGGATGGATCCGAAAATTTTTTCTGATCGATTTTGATATATGGAACGTCGAAACTGGAGTTCGTATGCGAAAACTAGACCAGTTTTAAGAATTGGCTCCGAATTAGAGGACAAAACAGGAACAATAATTTCAAACAATATTTTCAAGTAGTAAATGATTTCAACTGAAAAAGTTGTCAATTACAAAGTTTCATAACTTTTTGAGATCTACAACTTTCATTTTGATTGTTTCTTCATCCAAGGTCGTTTACAAAATTTGAATTTTAGTGCTTACTTTTTAATATTCGGCGTCCATTTGTAGAGGCACCTCAATATTGAGCCGCCCCTACAAATCAATCTAGCCGCCCCTACAAATCGGCCCATTTGTAGGGGCGGTTGATAACACCGGCCGCCCCTACAAATTTATTTGTAAAGACGGCTCATTTGACAACCATTTGTAGGGACGGTTCTATCACCCGCCGCCCCTGTAAAAAATTCGTCCCGTTGCTAAAAAAAATGATTTTTACGTAGTGGACGAAGGCATCTTTGTCAAGTTATCTCCGTGGGTTGTTCCAACAAAACAATCACCCTGAGTGAAGACATTTTTTTATGGGTGGAGTACAAGGGGTGTCAAGTCGAGGGTACTCTCCCCAAAAGCGATCAAAGCTAGTGGCAGAGCTCAAATGAAAATTTTAGATGGGCCAAACCGCAGGCATATAGCTTAAAATAACATAAAAGAAGAGCCACTGCATACACACACCATATTCT